TCATATGCTTGTTGTTACCTGAATTCCCCCATAAAAAATGGGCCCATATGTTCTTTCCAGTTTATAAGATTATATTTTTCATGCTACTTTCAGAGCACTTAAATAACCATGTGTGTTTATTTGCATATCATCACTTCTCTGTGTCATACCATATATATATCCCTGTCAATCACAGATGAATATGAAATAAAGAATGTCGTGGGGCAGAGAATTGAATTGTGCTTGCAATTTTATATGGTTACCTTGTTTCATAGTTTTTTACTTAAATTTTTAGATAATGGAAAAGCTAGAGCTTCAGCATTTTCTTGCTATAGAAACATCGGTCCACATTTATTACAAATATGTGTAGCAATCGCTACAGTTACCATGAACACTTGGTGGAATAAAGCAAAAAAAGTACAGTTCCACATTATTGATGAATTCGATCTTTATATAAATTAAAAAGAGCATAATCTGACAACTTTTTTTAACTGAAGGTGCAACCACTGTTTTTCATATAGTACAATATAAGTTGGTGCGATGCGTTTAGAATAATAGAAGGTAGTTCTAGACAATTATTCTGCCTGAAAGCTTTACTTAATGCCTTTGCTGATTCAACTGGTTCTAATATCTTCCCCTAATAAGTGCTACAACATCTTCCACTAAGTGATGTCATACCCTACTATGTGCCATGTGTCATCCCTCAATAAGTGCTACAACATCTTCCGCTAAATTTTAGTCTATAAACATACAAGTCATCCAAGTTATACTATTTATTTGTCCATCACATTCTCCTATAATTCGATGCAATATTCTATAAGCGTTTATTTGATTCTTCCATTAGCTTACCCAGTTTTGATAGCATATATGCAAAGATGTAACAATTTTATTCATAAGAAAGTCTTGGAGCAACGTGAAGGATATTCTTCTAGTATATATGAAAGGTGCGCCACAAGGGTAGGGTTTCCGTGTGTTTGCGTTCATAGGGGTGAGTGTGCGTGCGTTGCGAGTGTCTGCGTTGTACTATGTAATTCGCAAAAAAATGGACCTGTGATCATCCTCCTAGTTTTAGTCTATCCTAGAAAATGGTTATGTTGTCAATGAACCACCAAAATCACCAAACCCTTGTTAGGATCCATAATTCTTACATACCCATGGAAGCTATGTTTGAGGAACCAAATTATGACATGCGGCTGAAGTTTTATATATCTGTTGACAACAAAAAATGTATCAACAAAGAGACTGGGCTATACTATTAAGTATCTGACGTTAAGGAGACTTAGGAAAAATTTTAGGAATCAAAGCCCAAGTAAAGGAAAGAGGATTTGGGGCTCTGCCCTGCCTAGACCGGCTAGGCCGGTTCCCCCCAGTGACTAACCCAGCTAGAGAGGTCAGGCCCTGCGAAAACTGGCTCCTACTTATTCTAAGTCTAATTAATTTACAAATCAGTTTTGGATCTATTTTTGACATGGGAAACTTGGAAATTGTATGCTGGACATGTTTCCTATTGGGATAAAACCACCACCCTCTATATAAATGAGAGGACTAGCAGTGAATGAGCTTCGGTGTGGTATAAGACGGTTGTTCCTAACCCGCCGAAGTCACCAACTGTTGACACCAAAAGTGGCAAACGGGTAAATCCGCATACGTAGTCAATGTAGCCTTCGCTACGAGTATTCTAGGTATCGATTTCCACGAGGAACATGAAGTGAACTAACACAGGATTAGGGTCATCCTATGATGATTCAAGGAGTTTAGGATAGTGGGTAGAGAGGATCTTTATAGCCATGATATATGGTAAGGTAAGATAGATATATTTGTGTATGCACACCCTCGTTCATGGGGACAATAGGCGAGACAATAGGAGACAAAGATCCTACCCGAAGTGGCTACAAAGATTAGACATAGCTGTCACCACCTGCGAGCTACCACAAATAATCCCTACGACAAGCGGTATACATAGGCAAGGTATCGTTTAGACACCACGTGTACACTATATCTCACTACTCTAACCTTGTGCCACTAAGTTCCCTTAGCGAGATTAGAGCACTCTACCAAAGTAAAGTGGTGTACCAATAACAAAACGAGTATATAACTATTTACTAGAATTTTTTTTGCGAACATCTATTTACTAGAATTAGATATCAAATAGCATAAAAGAATCTCGGATGCTTAGTTACAGACAAGCCCACATCCACCGAGGTACAACTTGGAGAAGACAATAGACAGGCCCGGCTCTCCTCTTCACTCCTATCACTCTCTCTCTAGTACTAGTAGTAGTAGTAGTAGTGAGTAGGGCTCCGCTTATGTAAAGAGAGTAGTTTCCTCCTTGGATTGTGTGAGGGGCGTAGGGGATATTTATAGCTCATTAGTGTGGGCCCATGGGCCCATGTGACATGTTTTCATAGCTAGTGGATCAAACCACCATCAAATGAAGGGCCAATATCTTGCAAATGTGTGCTTCGTAGCATGCCTCCATGCATGAGGCTGGCCAACCATAGGTGGTGGTCAGCCGACCATAGGGGGGTTGGTCGACCCCCCTATGACATGTGGGTCCATGCCCCTTGTTGTGGGCCCTCCTAACTTGGTCGAGAGTGGGTATACTTGTGTGGGACCACTTTGTCACGTTGGTTCTTCACCTTGTCAGCCCTTCAATCCGTGTGCCTTGATTGTGAGCTGTCCAGAGAAAACACATTGTTCATCCAAGGGTGGAGAATGCATAGAAGTGTGGTTCTTGTCTTGGGAAGGATTGAGGGGTTGTGGGGACACAATGGGTAGGTTGGCCTAACATAGGTGGGGTCGGCCAACCACACTCTATGGGCCCGCTACCTTGTACTTGCTCCATTTTAATTTTGTCCCTACAAGCCAATACATGGCATGTACAAGTGGAACCATGTTATTTGTAAAAAATATTACTAATTTGCTTGTTTCCTTTCATATGTGACATTTTTGTCACACTTTTGACTATAAAAAATGTTGATGAAATCATCATCAACACCAAGTCAAATATCTAGGGTTAGTAGTGCACCCATAGCTCTTGATGTAGACGTAGCCCGATCTTCCGATAGGTATAGTAAAATTGGTGGAGAATTCGACATTCACGGTCTAGGCTTCGAACCAAGTTTGATTCGGACCTCCACAACCGTTACACCATAGATCCATTGGTTATCAACCACGCACAACACGATTGACCTCACCGAGAGAAGGCTTTTCTGCAAGAGAATCGAGAACACAAGCAAGAATGAGATGAACGCAATTTGAAATTGCAAATAATAATGTTGCATATGAATCTGATATGAGGTTCATGTCTTGATTCGATAGGACTAGTCGACACAGGCAAACAAGATCAAGAACATGGGTCCTGGTTCACAGTAGTCGATCTTGGTGATACAAGTGCAATGAACAATACATGTTTCATGAGGAAAGCAAGAACGCAACAAAAACCCAAACCTTAATGAGAGCGATGGTGGCTAATTATAGTCTTTGGGCGTGCAAACCCCTGGACGTGCTCACTAATGGGCTCTTAAGACGATACACGGCCCAACGGACCAGAAGATGGTGTCGCAGCACCCTCGCAGATTCTAGACGCTGACTTGTTTGAACGATTCCTATTGACTCCGAATGAATTTTGACGTCAAACAAAAGCTATCGGTTAGCTTATGAAATTACCTTTCCATGCATATATGGATGGTCGAAAAGGGAGTCCGTATGTATCCTGGGCGTTGATTTTACCCATGTCTACTCATGGAATCTGAGATGGACGACTCCAACTTGAATTGGACTGGGAATTCGCCATGACTTGGATGAGTTGGACGCCCACGCTGGTCCTCTTAGTCTCCTTGGCCCTAGCAGCCAGAAGTAATTGTGCTCTAGGTAACTTCTCCAAACAACTGACCTAAGTGGCAAAACTCAACATGGCACGGCACGCGCGTACATATGGCATGCCTTTCACCTCTCTCAACTTCACGAACGGTGCACACTTGAGCCACCTATATAAGTTGAGTCATAGTTTAGTGAAAATGGCATACAGGACTAAGAATTGATTGTACCTAGCATTTAATATGGGTCTAAGGATTTATTTGATTTAATTAAATAAAAAATCTGTCTAACCCCAAATTAAATCTAACATACCATGCCCAAAGATCAGGTCACCACTACTCATGTCACTCTCTACTTTAGAAGTTTAAGTAGAGGTCCTACTAGAGCTGTGTTTTTGACTCAGCCAAATTTAGTGTGGGATGGATAAGATCCCCACTAGACTTACTCTAAGTTCTTTAATTTAATCAAAGATTTAAATTTTAAACAAACATGTACTCCTATATAACTGTCTAAAACTTGACAAATCTTTAGGGGCTGTTTGGATTACAGGAATTCTAAATGATTCACCATTCCTATATTTTTGCTCCAATAACAGCGTTTGGAATGGAGGATTAGTCACTTCCTTTCCAAAGGAAAGTTTTCTGTACCTGTACGTTTTGGAGGAAAATGAACATCTAGTTCTACCTCTTAGTTTTCTTTCCTTCATGAAGTCCAATGCAATGAAGCACATTGAGGCATTGTTAGCATGTCTAGTGGCATGCAAGCTGGCCAGAATCTTGTATATAAAAGCCTAATAATATATGTTAATATTTATACTCTCAAGTTTTAGCATGGTTTTCATTCTTGTGTTCCAAAAACGCCAATATTTAAAAAAATCTATATGTTTTCATTCCTATGTTTTAACACTACATTCCTATCTCTTTCATATTTTTATTTAATTTCTATGTTTTATATTCTTGCGTTCCAAACATAGTAGACTGGTCTATACGAGGTTTGTTGAACGAAAATACCAATCCTTTAGAGCGACCTGTAGAGAATTGAACTCAAAATCGGTCACAGTGTAGATCTGTTTATAAACTCGGGCTGCCACACCGGTGCCGAAACCTAGTTGGCCCTTGGGCCTTAGGCCGCCGCTTGCCCGCCTGCCCGCAACAACTCCCCAAATCCTGCGCAGACACGGCGACGAGATCTCGGTGGAAGCCATGGATGACGGCGAGGACCTGATCAGCACCCTCCCGGACTGCCTCCTCGGCGAGATCGTCACCCGCCTCCCCACCGCCGACGCCGTCCGCGTCCAGGTCCTCTCCACCCGGTGGCGCCACATCTGGCGCTCCTGCCCGCTCAACCTCGATCTCCGTTCCACAAACCACCGCGACTACAATCGTCGCGTGTCCAGCATCCTCGCGGCCCACACTGGCTCCGGCCGCCGCCTCAAAATCGAGTGGCCGCACAACAGCGGCGAGTTCTACAACAACAACAGCTGGCTGTGGTCGCCCGTCCTCAACGGCCTCCAGGAGCTCGAGATCGAGCCAGGGTACGATCGCAATTGGAACAACACGAGCCCACTGCCGGAGCGGGTATTATTCCACTTCGCTTCCACGCTGCTCATCCTAAGGATCGGCTACCACACCTTCCCTTCCGCGGCCGCCATGGCGTCGCTCCGGCTCCCGCACCTGGAGCTCATCTCGTTCTGCTGCGTGGACATCTCGGAAGGCACGCTCCACGGGGTGCTCGCCGGCTGCCCTGTGCTCAAAACCCTCGTTCTCAACAGCTGCACCGGCTTCGCCACTGTCCGGATCAACTCACCCACCATTACAGGCTTCGCCATCTCACCTGCGGATTCATCCAGAACGAACAACTACTCGTACGACTATGACTCGGACGACCACTATTACGAAAATCCGAGGGTAAATCAGACGGTGAGGCTGACGACGTCGCAGGTCATCATTGAGGATGCGCCTCTCCTAGAGAAGCTGCTGGTCCCCTGTCGCCGCCGCTCGGCTACTGCTGAATCTTTCCGGCTTCTTCGAGTCGTCAGCGCTCCCAGGCTCAGGGTCCTGGGATCCCTGTCCTCCGCCATCCCCAAGTTGCAGATTGGCGGCACCGTCTTTGAACCCACCACCCGCTGTGTCAACCATGTGAGACCTGACAGTGTTATTATCAAGGAGAAGCGCTTGCTGATGCAGGCCGTCATGCTGGCAACGACGCTGCGAACTGTCAAGATTTTGGCTCTGGAAGATGTGGACTCTGTTGATGTCCTCACCAACTTCTTGAAGTGTTTTCCATGCTTGCATAAGCTATACATCTCGGTGAGCTCTTCTCAACTTCAATTTGTCTTCTTCATCATAGTCTTATGCATGCGTTCAATGCTTGCTGCTTACGCTTTGCAGTTTCTGTTGCTTTGGGTTTAATCACTCTTCTTGGAACCACACCTGTTGAATATACTCCCTCCATTATTTCTTACCTGTCACATTAGTTTTCTCCAAACTCAAACATTGCCATCTTTGACTATCAATTTGAAAAATTCTTATAATTTCATGACATATGAATTACATATGAAAGTATTTCTTATAGTGAATCTAAATTACAACATAAATCTTATGCCATGAATCTATATAATTTTTTAGAATTAGTGGTCAAAATATAATATTTGAATTACGACAAAGCTAATACGACATGTAAAAAGGACATATTGTATTACCAATTTTGTTGCACCAGTGCTTATTTTTCTCTTCGCTAACGAACACAAATAATCTTTCATTTGTTATGTTATCGCTATTCAGGCATCACGAGGATTCAGAAGTGCGGCAAGCTATGATAAACAAAATCCCATCGAGTGCCTTGAGCATCATCTTAAAATGGTAGCATTAGATGGATACGAAGGCAAAAGAACACATGTCAAGTTCGCCAAATTCTTTGTTCGAAATGCCCGGTTGCTAGAGTTAATGAAGTTCAGAATCTTTAGAAACTACCACTGTGAACCTGGGACCACCAAGGAATGGATTGCGGATCAGCAAAGGCAGCTACATGTCAGGAGCATGGCTTCCCGACATGTTAAGTTTCATTTTGTACATGATGCTAGATATTATCAAGTTGTTTACTGTGGCGAGGATATCAGTGACCTGTCAGAGCACATCCATGATTCCTCAAGAGATGACCCATTTGATCAATGGTTTGAATCAGAGAAGGAAGCCCTGGCATGCTGAAGGAAAAGAAGATGCTATAGTTTGGAACTCCAGCTAAAGGCTTGGTTCATTTGATCAATGCTGAATAACAACCTCATGTTCAACCTTTATTTAGTTCTTTATGTGTCATCAGTTGATGATATCACATTTTCTGTTTTGATGCTTCAGTACGAATCTTGAGAGAGACAGTCTGTCCATATGAATGTATTAAAGCATCATATTGTTCCCTTTCATCTGTATGGATTTTCAGCAATGAATATCCCTGATTAAGCAGCTGTCTTTCCACAAGCTTTATACGCATACATGCATGTTAATGATTCCCCTGCTCTAAGATAATTCTATAGTTCAGACTTCCATCTGCCAAGGGCTGCTCCGATTTAAATCCACAGGTGGTAGCATGTGAAGAGATGATTTAAATCCACAGGTGATAAAGGGTGTGAGGAGATGATAGGTAACAGAGCAAGTTATTTCTCTAAAAGCAAGCTCCGGTTATATGAGGCAAATCATTGGAGTTGTTTATTGTCATAGCAGTGGTGTGTAGCAACAAGATTTAAAAATGAGCTCAATTTCTCTGTGTGTGTGTTTTTTCTGCAATTGGGAACTCTATTTCAGAATCTAAATTATGATACTTGCAGTATGAAAATTTGCTGCTTGGTTAATATGGAAACTTGGAGGTCTCTGACTTTTGGCTGAGTGCGCTATCTCTGCAATCGAGGTAATGACTTCTTGCTTGTGCTTCTCCAAGTTACCAGAGTACTTGGTAAAAAAATCACACATTTTTTCTCAACAAATAGTCATATATCAAAATGAAAAAATTATAGGCAATTTGACAATGCACATATCTCAAAATGAAACACTTTGTGTCAGTAAATAATAGCAACTTCCAGTCAAGGAGGAAGGGTTGAGACTGGATTATGGTTTCTCAATGACATTAGAAAACAATGATTGGTTAGGACGATCCGCATTTGAGCTTTACAATTGTTTTGATTTTTTGTCCTGCAGAAGCTCAAGTATTTTCCATTCTTTTGTCCTGTGCTGGGAATGTTTTTCTCTAAGCGCATAGAACAAATCAATCACATGTGTTAGTTGTTTACTGGACACCTATAGTCCTATATTTGTGTTATCTTTTGATATGTCTATCTCCTCCCCATACCTTTTGGTTTTATATGTGTTGTCTACACCTATCATATGGATCTGCTTTTCATGCCTCAACAATTTTTCTTCTTTTTTTTAATTATTCAGAGGATATCAGCAAAAGATGCACTTGTTGCATTTTAATCTTTTCAATCAAATTTGCTGAGAACTTCATTCTCCCATTTAGATTATGTGCCTCGATTTCCCTCATCACCACCCCTTGTCACTGTAGCCATGGGTCAGTCTGACCTTGTGGATTGGCATGGGTTGGAGGGCCAAATGAAGGTTGGCTTGCAAACCGGACTTAGCAACCAACGCCTGCGGCGGCGGCGGACCGGTTTAGGACTGGTATATGTTTTTCTCCTGTCATCCTGTGCATAAGTACTGAATGCTCGAACTACTGTTCAGAATCTCTTCTCCTTGTCAATATGCATCCACCACTGTCTTTATTTTGAGATGGTAGACCATCTTTGTTTTGCATAAGTACTGAAGTGCAGGAAGCAGATTCATCTGCTACTTATGCTGGTCTTTTCTTGAGTGCAAAAAATGATTCTGATCAATATTCATCTACCTACTTTGTTGGGAGTGGCAAAAATCCAATTGTCTCTTTTGAGCAGAATGTCAAAATTCATGTAAGGTTTATTTTTTCTTGATCCGTTAAACTACTGCCTTACCTATGAATATTTGGTTGTTTCTTCCATGTTAGTACTTGATTACTGTTGAGTGCAAGGACTGTCTTTAGAGAAAAAGATAGAGACATTATCATTTTAATCTGGGATGCAATGCAGAAACTGTCAAACAAACTAGTCTCAGTTCGAAGGCACAGATCCCCCTCCCCTTACATCCCAATCCACAATGGGATTCTTGTTATTCATGTCTCCTCTCTTTTTGTAATTTGTTTCTTCTTGATGCGTAACATTCGACCATGGCTTGGGGTTTAAATATGACCTTTGATTAGTTTGTGCGAATACAATAGCTGCTGATTTTGAGTGGTATGTGTTGCAGTATATTGTGAGGGTGGGAGGGATCTTTTCCTGCCATTGCCGGAGGCCTTCAAGGGAATCAATAAATCAGGATGATCGGCTTGGACTTGCAGGATATAACTCTGTTGTCTGACAAATTGTTCTTGTCGCTGCCTGCGTTTACTTTTATTGACTGTATTGGGTTATTCTATTTGAATATAGATAGAATACATCGTAAATGCCCAAATGAATGTGTGCTCTTGGGGACAATATCTTTGTGACCAACTGTAGATTTGGATTATGGCTTTAACATTTTCTAGTCTACCACTCTTTGGTTGGATGGAAATGGTAGGGTGAATTTGCTTAATGGTGTTCAAAGTCTATATTGTGGGCACAAGAAAATTAAACATTATACGCTAGTATTAATCACTTCAAACTACTAGCGGCCATGTTCCCGGAGCGTTGGGGTACGTGGTACGGGAACGCGTGTGGTTCGTTGTTTCTTAAGTCTATGGGACGAAGAGGGTATACAGCTTGATCTCGTTCGTTCGATTAATTGAACATGTACCACGTGTAAATGGAACGTGTTCCCAGAACGATGAACATGATCCTAATTAAATTGGTTGATATCATGAACGTAAGACTTAGAAAGTTATAAAATAATAAAGATAAAATAGATAATTGAACTTCTCGCGTGGTCTCTTCTCTTTTTTTTTTCTTCCGTCAATTGAATTTTGGACCTCACGTTCCATCGGTGTTCCCATGGTGTGGGTCATGTTCCATTAGTGTTCCGAACGATGTTCCATCGTGTTCCCGTTCCACGAATCGGGACGATGTTCCCTGAACGGGAACGTGGCCCATGTTCCCGTTCCCAGGCTGCTAAACTCAGCTAACACAAGACCCATGGTCTGACTTCGCCCCTGCTATTGGGCTTGAGTGTTACTTTGCTTTGTGCTTTATACTGGCATCTAGATGTTTTTATTGGAAGACTCAAATAGAGTATCTACAGCCATCAGGTTATTATATGAATTCATATGAAGCTTTAAATCTTTACAATTGCATTTGCCTGTCCAGGTGTCACCGGATCACATGCTCTGCGTGCCTGTCTTGGCGTTACAAGGACACTCATGCGGATCTGAGCTCTTACAACGACGACCAGGCCTGAAGAATGCCCTACTACACTCATGCGTTTCAGCTAGGACTTGAGCCGACTTTCAGACGTTTTTGGTCTTGCTTAAATTTGTCCGTCCTAGTTTGTTTTACAACAATGTGACCCTTTCTAACACGATATCAGCCCATCATAACTGTGCCAAAGGAGCAATTAACAATAGCAATACGAAAATTAACAACATGAATGCACAAGATGTTTGATGTCATACGTTGTACATATCAATATGATATACGCATAGGTAGCAGCTGCGACAATGAACAGCAATGCCATGATCCACACTTTACATCCGGGCACCCCGCCCATGCTGGAGTTCCTCCATGAGCCTAGGTCCCCCACCCGCTCTTGTTGGATTTTTTCCACAGGCACAGCTCCACGAAGTAATCCACAGCATTGAACCTGGTCGACCACCATCTAGCTCGTGACCACATGCAAACCACTTCCTCATTGCATCTGCAGCAAGTTTTAAATGGGTGATTATTAGACATGCAGTTCAGCAAATGTGGACATATGGGCAGTAGTCCTAATAAATAACTCAAGGTGTAAATAATAACTGTGTCATGCAATACCTTCTCAACTGTACCTAAGCATCACTTGAGAGTACATAAGGCCCAGGATATGGGCAGCAATGCATAAACACAAACTCACCAGGCTCTAAGCTTTGTCTAAGCCCTAAGCACGACTTATTCAAACACACTGATTTCAAGGAAGCTAACTGTAGAAAGCGTTCTTGGCATAGCAGGATAGTTCTGCAAGGTTCATGGGGAGAAATTCCCTAGAATATTAACCCTTGATCAGAATTATAGAGAATTCAAAATGATATGATCCAGAAGGTCACAATTTGTCCTGAAGACATATGTTGTACTCTTTTTTCCTTGATGAGTTTTCCTGCAGTTTCTCATGTAAGGTTTTTAATGAGGCAACATTGTACAAACTAGAAGTGGGAGATCAGCTGGCTGTCACACAGGAAGCTAAACATGATGCGGTCCTCAATTTCTTTGAGAATGTCTTGGGAACAGCCGAGGGTCGAGATTACACTATTGATCTTTCAGAGATTGGGGTACAGCAACATGATCTTTCCTCCTTGAATGCTCCATTTACAGAAGAAGTTTGGGTAACAATCAAGGATATGCCCTTGGACAAAGCCCCTGGGCCGGATGGTTTTACTGGCTGTTTTTATAAATCATGCTGGAACATCATAAAAGGGGATCTCATGTTGGCTTTATCAGCCATTCATCGGGGACACGTGTTCAAACTCAGATTGCTGAACACCGCCTTCATCTCCCTTCTCCCTAAGAAATTGGAGGCCACTCAAGTTAAGGATTTTTGGCCTATAAGCTTGATTCATAATATGGCTAAATTGGTGACCAAGGTGCTAGCCAAGGCTAGCCCCTCTTCTACCTTCCTTGGTCGCCACAAATCAGAGCGCATTTGTCAAAGGAAGGAACATCCAAGACAAATTTTTTTTGTCCAACAAATGGTGAAAACCTTACATAAAAAGGAGGCTCATATCTTGCTCAAGTTGGACATTTCCAAAGCCTTTGACTCAGTCTCATGGTCTTTTCTTCTTGAAATTCTGCAACATGTGGGTTTTGGACAGCGGTGGTGTGATCTTCTATGCCTGATTTTGTCCACCTCCTCTACTCAAGTCTTAGTCAATGGAGGCCGGGTGCCGCCATACATCATAAGCGTGGCCTCCGTCAGGGTGACCCCCTCTCCCCCATGCTTTTATTACTTGTCATGGATGTTCTGAACTC